TGTGTACTTCTAACATGTTTGGTTGGTAAAATAAATGTTGTAAATTCAAATCAGAGCGTCTTCCGTGTCTGGAATGGGTGTATTCTTGAGTCTATAAGGTAACAATAATATAATAAGATAAACTTGTTTGAAATGGGTTTGGCTAAAAGAAAAAAGAAAATGTTGGTTTCGTCTTTACTAGCTACTAGGTACTTATACTATATTGACTGGGTTAAATAGAATTGCATTTCTAAAAAGAGACTAAAATACAATTTTCATTTAGCCAGGTTTCAGTCAAGCAGAATACATCAAAACGATTATCTGTGATCATTTCATTTACAATAACTGCTTTGGGTGAGAGTGATCTAATGTTTAGGATCTAATGTGTGTGTGTTAAAAGAGGAAAGCAGGCACTTGAACCAAATCCCTGTGAGGCAAGGGAGAGGTGAAGCAATGGAAGAAAACGTGTGAGGAAAGAGTAGCTTCAAACATTTCATATTTGAACGTTGATTGCTCTTTTTTTTCAAATAGCTCATACATGTGTTAGACACAATGAAAAGTGAACATGTGGCACGTGTTTATTCCACCACCCTGATGCAAGAAGATTTTCAGACACTGGGATTGCAACGCGATGTTGAGGTAACAGTTCGGATCATATTATTTTTTTAATCAAAATTATTTATTTTTTATTTATTTTCCTGTTTTAATGAAGATGTTGTCTTAACGGATTCTGAATTGCTGTTTCAAGTTAATTGAAGACATCAGCAAATTGCAGGTAAAATGTGTAACTTGCAAAACTGAACAAATGGCAAACGTTTTTATGATGAAATGTATGTATGTTTCTGTTGTTAGGGCATCCACGTCTGGACATCTAATAGCTATGTGAATGCAAGTTTGATTCCCCCACTTTGTGCAGATCCCATGCACATATCCCTGTAATCATTTTTACTTAGTTTTAACAGTGTAATATTTTAGCTGTAATTAGTTTGTCTTTATCATGCTCCTTGGGATTTCATTGAGTACTGTTGTGTTATTGTCATATTAATGTGATGCTGCAAAGAAAATGCAGTAAGCAGTCTCTCAGAGCAGCCAAAAAGATTTCACAAAACAAAATATACGTTGTGCACAATTTTACTTTAGTTTGTATGTTATTTTTGTGACAGGTTGATGCCTGGATGTGAAGTCACACTGGATGTGTTGTGTAAGTCATCAAGACATTTTTTAAAAGACTTGTCAAATGGATGTCACTATTTTGTGTTTTTAACAACTTTTTGAAGATTTTGCGCCCAAAGCAGAAACAGTTTTTTTTCTTGATTCGCTATGCAAGAGTGGTCTAAGTGATGGCAGATACATGACTTTGTTCTCTCTCACCAGACTGTGAATGTATGTGTTTGTGTGTGTGTGTGTGTAGGTGAGTGTGTGTGTGTTATAGTGAGTGTCTCTGTGTGTGTGTGTGTGTCTGTATGTTTGTGTGTGTGTGTGTGTCTCTGTATGTGTGTATGTGTGTGTGTGTGTGTTATAGTGAGTATCTGTGCAGGTGTGTTATAGTGAGTGTCTCTGTGTGTGTGTGTGTTATAGTGAGTGTCTCTGTGTGTGTGTGTTATAGTGAGTGTCTCTGTGTAGGTGTGTTATAGTGAGTGTCTCTGTGTGTGTGTTATAGTGAGTGTCTCTGTGTGTGTGTGTGTGTGTACAGGTATATATGGTTTATGAGGACACTAATGTGTACAATGACATGGGTACTACAACGTAAACATGGTTTATGAGGACACTTCCTGTGTTTGTATGTTATTTTTGTGACAGGTTGATGCTTCTGCAAAAGACTGCATTCTGTTTACATCATGGAGCAAGTCACACTGGATGTGTTGTGTAAGTCATCAAGACATTTTTTAAAAGACTTGTCAAATGGATGTCACTATTTTGTGTTTTTAACAACTTTTTGAAGATTTTGCGCCCAAAGCAGAAACAGTTTTTTTTCTTGATTCGCTATGCAAGAGTGGTCTAAGTGATGGCAGATACAATCAAGTGTACAGGTCTTCTACATACAAGTTCAGTAGTTCATGTTCAGAGTTAGCAGTTTGAACAGTTCTTCTTCAAATGTTCTCAACTGCTGTATGTTGGTTCTGTTCTAAACCATTCAGCATTTTACTTTTTCATTATTCTTTACAATGGAAAACTCATTATTCCCCCAAAACATGTACTGTTACTACTTGTGATTCATTTACAGTTGCTTATTGTTGTTTTCTTTTGTGTATTTGGGTACATTTAATAGGAGGGTTGCTCAGACCATTTTTCCTGGACATTGGACTGAGTTATCCTGTAAAGATCTTCCAGTAGGTTTTTGAATCATAACATATTATTTCTGGCATATAATTAAATTGTTATTTTTTATTTTTTTTATTGCTTGCAAAGATTACCCAGGGTATTCCAATGCAGGGTTCCTCAAATAACTGGAGTCTTTGTGCTCATGGTGAGTTTATATGACAATTTACATTGATAATCACATCAGTTCTATTAAAAAATAAATAAAATAAAAAATTAAATGGTCTAAACAGTTAGTCTTTGACTTTCAGTATGCCCTGTACTTTGCTCTGGGGGTGGAGCTGGACTTTTCAGAGGTGAGTCTTTACATCTTTGCTCAACACATATAAATGAACAACCCATTTTGTTTGAACACTAAGGCATCTCCTTTTGCACATTAGACAAGTATACCAAGTTAAGAAATACCTTCAAAACCATAAACTTGAATTTAAAAACGTACAAAAAAACAAAAGGAAGACAACACATTTTGAAGCATTATATCCAAGACGTTTTCTGAATGTAACAAACAAGAAAAAAAAAATTATATATATTATATAAATATATTATATATGCGATGTATACATCTCAGTTCCAAAAAATGGACCCTTATGACTGTTTTGTGGTACAGGGTCACATATGTACAGTTTGAAATGAATCCATCTGAGGATGATCTGCAGAGGAGGACAATGATATAATCATTTTGGGCTCTTCCTCTGAAGATGAACCTGTGAGTTTTCAGAATGGAGAATGGCAAAGTAATATAAATCACTGTGAAATGTACCATCTTGCATGTAAGTTTTGTCTTTGCATGCAGAGTAAATAATTGTTCTACTTTTGTTTTACTTATTAAAATGTACAGTTGTGCCTGTGAATGGCATTGCTGGTGGGAGACGGGGCTGTGGTCACGCGTCTGGAACAGCATTGGTGGTTCCCACAGTAGATGAGATGAGCCTGCCCACATTAACAAGAGAAGGGCATAAATACTGGAGCAGAACCAAACCTCCAGCACGCTTCAGGAGAGATCTGGACACCGCACACCACGTGTTTGGCTCATCAGAAGCTCCTACATCCCCAGGCTGCACTCTTACATCCATGAGCATGGCCTGGACAGAAACCTGGGGCTTCCCTGCTGGATCACATGGGATGGCAGACTGTGGGAGCATCTCCCAGTCCTCCGCTCTCACAGGGCCAATGCTGCTGCTCCAGACATCTTGGTGATTCATCTTGGTGGCAACAGCTTGTGCATGGAGGGTCGCAGAAATGTGGTTTTCTTTCAACAGATGAAGGCGGACATGCATGAGATTTCCTTGATGTTTCCACACACTGGAGTCCTGTGTTGTCTTGGCCAGACCGTAAGTACACTGACCGTGCGTTGGACTCCAGGTAGGCCTTGAACAGTTCATTCATCTACCTCAACGAAGCTACTTAATCATCAGTGACTCTTGGAAAAGATGGGTTTAGCGGACATCTAACACACACACACACACACACACACACACACACACACAGACAGACACACACACACAGACATAAACCTGTACACACACAAACAAACAAACAGACATTAATAATTTTTCCTTTGAACCCTCCATTTAAGAACTCAAACATCCAAAAGAGTCATCTGAACTGCTGAAAGAACCATATGTTGATGTGTTATGAATTAATGTGATATGAGTTTATGTGCTATGTTTGGTTTGCTCCAGTTATGGACTTTGAACTAACAGAGGCATTGAAGAGTACTATGTCAGAATATTTACAAATGTAGTTATGATATCTATTGATTTACTATTGATGACTCGTGTATTCTTCTCCCTCTTTTGAAATACGACTGTGATACATTGATGCTGACACATATTGTAATTTATTTCATGAGATGATTTATTTTTGCTTGTTTATTTGTTGTGTACTTTGACATGCTTTGAATAAGCAGGATATACTGGAAAAAGAAACAAAAAAAGTGTGATTTGAAGTAACGGGCATAGCTAGAATCACTACGTCACAACGCTGTCTTGTTTTTTTTCTCTCATTTGTTACTTATTTTTTAATATTCAAGCACTATTACTCAACATTTAATCTGGGAATTGTATACTTGTTTTTATTGCTTTATATGCTGCAAGCACTTCGCTATTATAAACCATTGTCAGTGGTACCGTAAATGTCAAAACTTTGTGAATTATTATTTTTTAAGCTGATAAGAAATACAAACAAAATTTTTTTTATTTAATTGTATGTAGCATCCTACACGTGAGCTTCTGCTTTGATTAACACAAATCAATGTGTTTGGACAAGACTTATCTACTGGTTTAGTTAGTATATTGTAGAGGTGTGCTTGTGAATTGTTTACCATTTTAAAAAAACCTGTACAATTTAAATTCATTACTTAGCTCTTTTAATAAATATCTTTAAAATATACAACAGTAAAATAATAACTTTGTATTCATTTAGCAGATGCTTTTATCCAAATAAACCTGCAATTGAAGAAACCAAACTAAAATGATCCTTATAGGGCAAAGTTTATATGAAGTGCAAGTAGAGAGGAAAGTGAGACTCTGCTGAAATATCTAAATCTGTCATTATATATTGCATGCATTTGTAGCCATTGCACATATTCTTAATTCTCAGTTAACCTTGATTCATTTAACTCATGAACAAGAGTGTCCAATAGCACAAGGCTACCCTCTCCATAATGTGGTTGATGTGACTGAAGTCCTCATGGGTAAATCTTTATAATGAATGAACCATTTCAATGAGTGCACATTTAAAGATGTAGTACTTGCTTTAATTAGAGAGGTCGCATTTTTCCATTCGTCAGTGTGCTGCACAGAGATTCCCTCTCACTCGCTAGATCTCTGCATTTGTCCTCAAGCACTTAGATTTTTGATTGTAAAAATTAGTTTCTAACAATTTTCATTAAGGACACCTGCTGGGTTGGAGCTGGTGTTGCTTATTGTAACGGAGCCGACGAGACATGAGGATCCATGTGCAAGCTTTTATTTATAAACATGGTCAGAACACAGGCAGGGTCAAACAATGGCAAACAGGTATGGTACGGGCAAGACAAGAGATAAATCCAGGTAGAAGGCAAAGGTCCAGGCAGGGGCAAACAGAGTCCAAACGGCAAGACGACAGGGCAATCCAAAAACTAAGGCAGCGATATATACACGGGAAAACAGGCAAGGCAAGACTAGACTAAACTAGGAACTCTGAAAAAGACAAACTAAGACAATTAATAGGCTCCGTATAGCAGCTAACACTAAGAGAGTGGAAAACACAGAACAATACTAGAGACCAAACAGGACATAAACATGGAATGGCTTGGTAAAGTAGCTAACACTTGGAGAGTGAAAAACGCTAGACAATACTCAGCGATCTGAATGGGAACTGAGTGGGTGTTAAATAGAGTGTGTAATGGCTCTCAGGTGAGCGTGTGGTTAGTGAAGGCTGTGTGATCAGTGAATTCAGCTGTGTAAGTGCAATGGATGATGGGAACTGTAGTCCGGAGTGACATGTAACAGTCTGTGTAGTGTGAGAGTCAACGTAATGGTAGAGTGATCTCTAGTGGCAATCGGCCAGAAGGCCACGGACCGGATTTGTGATACTTATTGCCCCTCTTATTGCTTATTGAATTGAATAGATCAGATTTCATGTGCGGTTCACGTTGTCATGAGAAAAACAGATCTGAGTCACATGTAAGCAAAAAATTATAAAAAAAATAAATAAAAACATTTGCCTGAACGTAGCATAAAGCATCTTGAAACTTGCGTTAGATCACATGCAACGATTTAGGATTAATTGGTATTCTTGGCTTTGAAGACTCTTTTAATCCACACTACTATCACAGGTTATGAATGTCACATCTCAAGTAATATGCAGTGCATATGATCCACGAGTTGTTTTGAAGTCTAAAGAAATAGATGAACATCACTACAAAAATCTTGAAGATTCTGGTGAAAGCTCACATTATGGTATCATACACAAAAACATTCTCAGTGAATTAGTATTATAACACTGCAAATGACTTGGTTGTAGATGCAATACATGACATCTTCTGACGGTGTTGCACAACATATAACTATAACACTGAAGACAAGACTTGCTATTGCGGATCTATGCTTACAGCTAATTAAATCACAAGAAGACACCAACGAAGATTAGTATGCAGTGCAACAGACTTGGGCTCAATGCCAGCCAAACAAAGATTCTCTTGAGAAACATTCCACTTCTATTTAATGATGTTATTCAGAGGAAAACAACCCTTGAAATGTACTCACTTACACAGCAAATCCACAGTGTAAAGTTAACACCACTCTTTATATGGGTCCACACTACAGAGTGTTGCAGTTAATGAGATAATTAAGCGATTAATTAAGTGATGACATTAGTGATGAACACCTGCTGGTAATGAGCAGAATCTCTGAAGGAAAGTGGAACAAGAAAAACCAAAAAAGAGAGTTTAGGAAAAATGGCTACTACTAAGGCTGGCCGCACACTAGAGGATTTTAAGGCCAATTTGCACCACCGAACGATCGGGGTGTCTGGCCCGATTCACGGCTTGTCGCAAACGATTTTTTTGTCTAAAAAATCCTCTATTGTGTGGTGTCATTACGATTATTTATTTGCTCCCGATCAAGATGGAGCGTCCCCGAACTCGAATCGTAAATATCAAACATGTTTAATATTTAGGACTCTTGAGCTTGATCGGGCTGCCTCTGACGTGATACCTGCGATAGCCAATGAGAGCGAGCAAGCGGCACCTACCGGATGTTGCGTGCTTCTATAGCTGAAACTTGTTAGCCACAAACATGCCATGAAAGCAGAGAACAGCACCCATATTCTTTTCTATACTTTGTTTTTCACTGTATGACAGAACGCACAGCAGGAGAGTCAGCTGACAACGTTGATTGTCCTCTATTTGTTTTTCTTCTCTAGTCACGTTTGATCACGCGAGTGTCCGTGAGATCTCGTGTCACTGTGAAATCGTTCCTACAATCAAGTGTGTGGTCTCACGATCTGGTCTAATCATCTAGTGTGTGCATTTAGAGGATTATAAGGCTAAAAATCAGTTGAACTGTCTTCATGTCTGTGGTCTCCCACGGTTTTAAAATCGTTTAAGATTTGAAAATCATCTAGTGTGTCCCAGGCCTAACTTTAATGCAATACAGCCCTATGCTGGGTACACACCACAAGATAATCGGGCTGATTTTGGGCCGATTTTTCCCCTTCCGACAATCCTAGGTAATGTCCCGATTATCTTGGTGGTTCTAAAGATTATCTTATCAGATTTTCCTGTGGTGTGAGGTGTGTTAAGAGTGACTGAATCTGCTCGGAAGAACGTCGCCCCGATCGCGAATCGTGAATATTCAACATGTTGAATATTTATGATCAGAAATCCTGATGTGTGGGGGGAACCCCGAGGACAAGCGCGTGCACGCTCTGGAATTATCACGTGAAACGAAACAATATCCAATCAGAAAGCGAGCTGACAGAAGACGGAAGACGGAAGCATAAGAAACGCAGTCATGGCGCAGCACAAAAGGATTTGGACAGCAGAGATGGAGGATCAGCTTGTCGATTGGTTATAAAACGTGTCCATTTTCTGTCAAAATCATTCCAAACACTATCATCACAATTTCTTCCTGGCTATCATCTGCCATGTTTATTCTCAAGTCTCGAGAGATTTTGCGAGATTTCCCGTGTTCACAATCAGGACTCTGGTTGAAAATCTGTTGGTGTGTGGTGTGCTGTCTTTGTCACAAACACACTATAGGAGCAAAACGGTTAAATCTAGGATTCCTCTTCAGGAACTCGAGCTGCGTCGGAAAACGCTAGGGGAATGCCTTCTGTGACCACGCTCTGAATAACATGTGAAATCAGTCCAATAGCTGAGCGGGATGTCACGGGCGGGTGACGTCATGACCAGGAAACTATAAAAGCACGTGCGGCGGAGCCAGCGTCAGCTTCTAGGAATGAAGCAAGCGCCGGCAGGGACGCCGAAAGTATGGCACCGAGATGCAGCGTCTCGTTCCCTCGAGGAACTAGGGTTACATATTGTGAAAGTCTATAAGCTCCAGCTATGTCTAAGCTAATGCAAAGACAAAGCATTTCAAGGGCGAGAGCAAGCCATGTTATATCACGAGTGGGGATACACACAGCCTGTGCGTGGTTTGCTTGGGAGCGAAGCACGCAGAGTCGGCTCTT